TATTCTTAGTTTTACCAAAGTGAAGGAAAAAAATCACTGATGACACAAACCTTTTCAAATAATGACCCATATATATGTTATATCATTTAAATTTAACTTTACTTTTTAAAAAAAATTATTTGAGGACAGTAGCTACTGTCCGTTGCAAACGTTTACAATTACTTGACTTGACGGAGTCTAAGCGGGTATTGAACAACATGAAATGGGCGCAAGGCCTATTTATACTATTCGTGTACTTAGAAAGCACTTCTGGAAAGCAAAGCGTAAACAACGAGTTAGCGAGAAGTCGTTATCTGTTGCTGAGCTAGTGTCTGGTGCAACATTGTATGGAATAGTAAGTCCATTGTTTTGAGTGCATATAACATATATATATATATATATATATATATATATATATATACATACAGGATATATATATATATATATATATATATATATACAGGATGTAAAGTTAGTAGTGGATCACCGGAAGTTAGGTAATATAGGGCCTTAAAACCTATCGAATGAACCCCTATATGTGTGGTTCGAACTTTTACAATTTAGGAGATATTTCCAATTTTGTAAAATTTCGAAAAAACGGGATAATAAACTTTCAGTCGCAATTGCAAACTAAACCATTAGGGCTGCGATTTTTTTTCTGAGATGAGCTAAATGGTTAGTTTTAGCAATGGTTATGTAACTTTTTAACAGAGCTTATTAGAAATCAACGCAAAAATCTTAAATTCATTTTTTTTTGTGAAAAATCTCTTCATCCCTCAACTTTGGAGGGTGGTAAAAAAAATTGAGGTTGTATTTCATTATTCATGTTTTTGTAAAAAACTATTTCAATCCATGTAGAACAAACCCAGAAAATTTAAGCTTGCTACGATGGGTTTATCATGTCACATTCGTTGTGATGCGATAAACGTAAGAAACGCAGTAGAATTCTACAAGTACAGAACCTATTGTGTTTAGCCGCTCCTTATGGCAATTTACCGACAAATTTGGAAGATAATTAATTTAACTAACCCTTAAAGAACATGTTCGGAATGGCCTACATTATTTTCTATATAAAGCGACACCTTCTAATAAAATTGTCCTTTTGTCTTTGAAATGAATTTTCATTTTCCATAATTTTTATGTTTGCTTCATCAATTTTCTGGCGCAGTTGGTTGATATTTGTATATTCAGATGTATAGATTATCCCCTCATAAAACCCCCATATAAAAAAATCTAGAGGATTCAAATCGGGTGACCGTGAAGGCCATCGTATGTATCCACCTTCACCTTCAACTGAAGGTGGCGCTGACTGGGCGTATCGTCGGCGCTCCTACCTGACGATGAGTACCTAGTATGCGGCCCTCCATATACGTATTATGCACTCGTAGAAAAACGCAGTAGTCGCGATATACCGCCGGTTCTGGTCCATCTCTTCTAACCACATACTTCCGATACATGCAAATACATACATACAGTATGCAAGCTGGAATGTGTAATAAAATGATGTATGCGTACTGTTTTAGCGTAAAAGTGACAGCTAAAAATTTCGGGACGGCGGCTAGACGCCACCTTGGAACATTTTTTAAATAGATTGGGCAGCCATCTCATTACTAAACTTCTTAACGGCGGACTGCCAGGATGTCAAAATTTAGTGTTTTTTCATTGGAAAAATCTGTCATTTTTGTACCGAAATGTTTCATGTTCAAATAGACCCATCCAAAAAAATTGATATAAGAGATACTATCGCGTTTTGATGGTAAGTTTTCAGTTACAAGCTATTCAATGTACCAAAACGCTCAACTCTGAAAACCCATCAGAGCGACATTTGAAATGATAGTAAACTTATATTTTATAGTATCGATAAGGAGCATCACAATGTTTTAAGATGGCTGGCTCAGACATCATTTTGGAAATTTCATGTGTATCAATTCTATCACTCCAATTTAAGTTTGCTAGCTTGACTCATTCAAAAAATATGTGGAGCAGGACCTTTATAAAATGGCGTCAACTAGATGGACATTGCACTTCCACACAATGCCGCTATCATTTGATGATGATTATGTTCACCACAAACTAGACCCCTTGAGAAAAAAAAGTAAAAAAAAACAGGTATATGCAATTAGTCCACAGTAGTCATTTTTCCCTGCCCTAACGGTAGTGCATCTGGAAACGTCACCTCTTCCCGATACTTAAATCGGTCAGACGTGGCGACGCTATTAGAGCATAGAAAATACTGTACAATAACAGGACAACAGAACACTCACCAATCCCGGCGGCACGGCGCCGGAAGTAGCAGCCGCGGCCGGTAGTCCCCGATCCGCTGCCGATAGTAAGTTTTACTACTACTATAAATGTACTAACAACAAAAAATTGAAATAATCCCTACCCACCCCCCTTACAACCATACCCTCAACACCCCCTACAATCCCCACCCCCAAGTTTTTTTACATCAATTTTTTTTTCAAGAATGATCAGGATCCTCTGAAACTTCATAAAACGAGACTTGAGCGATTGTTAGTTTTTCGTTTTAGACCTTTTTTTCTGCCGCCTCTGGACCGATATTCAAAAACTCAAAGTTTCTGCATCCTTATCACAGTAATAACATTGCGTAAAAGTTTCTTCGAAATCCGAGCGATACTTCTTAAGTTATAGTCGGTTATAGTATTAGCGGATAGACCGACAGACAGACAGACTGGCTGAAATGATAAACACGGTTTTTCGTGATGTACATGTCATATAACATCCAAAAAACATATCTCTTTTCGCGATTACAGTACTTTCCTGCCAGTAGTTGTGGGAAGTAAAAGCACTGTATATGTTATATTACTGAATCATCTTAATTTAAACACTAAAATATAAAATAAAAATAATGTATTTTTATAAGAACTCCAACAAAATATTTTGCATATATAATATACATGACAATGAAATATGTGATGTAACAACAGGACTTACGATAAATGCATCTGTTTTAATAAAGTTATCGACAAATATGTTGACTAATGACTAATATGTATTTTCTCCAAATGACAAATTAAACATTATTTCAGTGTATTTTTTCAATATTTCACAATGAATCACAACAAACAAATATCAATGTCAATAGACAAATACAGCTTAGAATGGGAATATACAAAAATCCTGTAGACTTAAAAACTTGCTTCTGAACACCCCATAAAACGAGTATCAACAAGTAACAGTAATAATACAAAGTGATTCAAAACGCAATGACTATTTCTAGAGCAGAAAGTATACCCAAAAATAATAGTAACGTTCCTATATAGATTTATACGCTGCTGATGAGACTCATTGAGGACATAATATGAATATTCTTAAAATAACGCTGTGGTGTGGTGGGATTACTCTCACAATACATACATACAATTTTCAATGCCAAATGAAAGGATATTTTCAAAGTACAACTATTGTAAGTTTTTTATACCTTCAATCGTAAATTTTTCTCCAAAGACAATGATGTTTCAAAAATTTCCTAGGAGAGGCTATTTATGTAAAGTAGAATACTTTACACAACAACTAACAACAACAATAGCCACAAAATTTTCATGATTGTATTATTTGTGCTGTTAGTACTGCATATAAAACACTTACAATACTATAGACTTATCCATTCTAAAGATATATTTTGAAGTTCAGAGCTACAACAATCTGAATCTCGGTAAGGGGGCATTTAAGAACCCATATTCATATGAACTTTTCATGTTATTTTTGGATCTACTTTCAGTCGCAGAAATATTGCCATTGTTTGTTGAATTACCCTGTATGAGCGATCACGTGGACGAAATTCATTATTAATAATTAAATTCACTTATGGTAGAAACAAACTTAAAAATAGGAAACTTTTTAAGGCAATGAAACATTATAATTTATTTTTAAATTATGACATCTTGTAATTATATAAAAAATATAAAATGGATAATGTAAGTATTTTTATCTCAACAAAATATTCCCTTACATAATTTATACATGTCTAAAAGAAATAAAAATGTTAGGCAAATACATTTGTCGCCATTATATTTCGATAAGGTGAAATAAGTGAGCGTTTTAAATAAACGTAAAAAATGCAAATTCGAGAATGTGACTAGTTTTTCTCATACTGTCAATCTGGAGATCGCCAATATATGAATATGAAGAAAGAGCAAATCCACGAGCGCCCACACGGGTGACATAGGGAGCAGTGCCACTCTGAGGATACAGTTGGCCTTCATTTACATATTTCGGGAAATAAATCACAGTTGAAATACGAAAGTTTTTAAAATATTTGTGAGAGTATGAAATGTTTCACTACAGAAGGTAATAACTATTAAGTTGAAACAGGTAACCAGATAGAAAACAAAATTTTAAGCGGGAACATAGGTAATGAAGTGATATTGTAAAGTGATAAAGCAGAATCCAGAATATAAATAACTATAAAATGAAGATTTCTGATAATTAGTTGGGTTTGGGTTCTAAAGAAACATAGTTTCCTGTTATAAAGTTGCTGGCGTTTCGGAAAATTTTAGTTCCTTCTTCAGCGCATTACAAAAAAAATTAAAACACTAACTTTACATATACAATAATTTAAATTATTTAAGTAATAAAATCGACGTAAGAGAAACTTATTTTGGTTGTCACTATAAAATGGGCTACTTAAACTAATCCCCAAATTTCATTAACAAGATAGCACACACAAAAATTATTCGATTATCAGAAAAAAAACATAGCTAACACCCCCTTACTGTGGTGGTCAAAAAAAAATCCAACGTTATGCACATCTTTGATATCATTTAGACTGCAACTTATCAGTAAAAGGTTGTTATGAGGTACACCTAGACACAAATTGATGGATAGGAGAAATGTACTTCTAAATAGTAAAAATCTGAGCTATTTTTCGTTATATTTGATGTTTTGTATTTTTGTTGAAAAATATAACAAAAATAGCTCAGATTATTACTATTAACAAATACCTTTCTACTTTCCATCAAACTGTGTCTAGCTGTACCGCGTAGTAGTCTAAATGATGCAAAGTAAATTGGTGAGTTCGCTTTAGTTTGTTTTTTCTATTTCCCTCGTTTTAATATCTACCAATCACAAATGCGCAATTTTGAATTACAAATTGTTTCTAGATGGAAAAATTGTATGACAGCACCTGTCAGCAATTTTTTCGAGTTTACCCGCGGCAAAAATTGACAGCCATTGTCACCAAAAATTACAATATCAAAGAGCAATCAAGTGGATGGTACAAAAACACTCCAGTGGGAAAAAACGAACTTTCGAAATGGACTAAAGAAGCAGCAGAGAAGGCAGGATTAAATACAAAAGAAATAAAAATAACAAACCACTCTATGCGGTCGACAGCAGTCAGTAACCTGGCTAAAGCAGGGGTGGGTGAACAAAAATTAATTAAAATTACTGACCACAGTTCAGCCAACTCAATTAAGCCTTATCTGCAATTGGATAATGAGCATTATTCCATATTGCCAATATTTTGCAGTCTGACAGCGAATCAGATTCAGATTGCGACTGTCCTCTCTCAGTTTTACAAATGAAGATGGCACAAAATAAAGACACTCGTGATTGGACCAAAGACAGAGTACCAAAAAAACCAGAAGACTTCATTGCTGACACAGGAATAACTAATGTAGTGAAGAATTTGGATTCTCCTACTCCGGGAAAACTATTTCAGCATTTTTTCACCGACGCTGTATTAGAAGACGTAGTTTTTCAAACTAATTTATATTGCCATCAAACATCTAATAAGCCTAGAAACATAGATATATCGGATCTGAAAGTTTTCTTGGGTATAAATTTATTGATGGGGATAAAAAGAAGTCCCAGCTATAGAGATTATTGTAGTAGCTGCCCAGATCTGAACGATGTATATATAAGCTCAATGATGCCAGTTAAACTTTTTAGTTGGTTTCTTTTAAACCTTCATTTGAATGATAATTTTCTGATGCCTAAAAAGGGAGCGCAAGGCTACGATAAACTATACTAAGCTAAGACCACTTCTGGATAGCCTGTCGAAAAATTGTGAAAAGTGCATGGCTCATACCAAAGAAGTGAGCATAAAGTCTATGATTAAATTTAAGGGAAGGCATTCATTGAAACAATATCTTCCCAAAAAGCCAATTAAAAGGGGGTACAAGGTTTGGATACTGGCTAACAAAAATGGTTATTGTCAAAAATTCCAAATATATACAGGAAAATCTGATGATGAAGAAAAAGGCTTCTAGAGTGGTGAAAAATCTACTAGATGGTATGGAGGCAAAACACCATATAGTGTATTTTGACAATTTCTTCAACAGTGTACCACTGTTAGAATATCTGAAAGCGAAGGATATCCACGCATGTGGAACAGTCAACGTGAAAAGGAAGTTTCTTCCTATATTCAAGCCAGATAAGTCCTTCAAACGTGACGAATCTCAAACCTTCACTTCTAACACAAACATTGTAGCCATAAAATGGCGAGACAAACGAAGTGTTCATCTATTATCTAATTTTCACAGCCCCACGGCTGTTGCCGAGGTTGATAGGAGAGATAAGAATGGATCCATTTGAAAGGTTTCCTGTCCAGCTGCTCTAATGGATTATAACAAGAACATGAATTTTGTTGACAAGTTCGATCAAAACCTTAATGTCTACAAAATCGACCGCAAATCAAAAAAGTGGTGGCATCGTATATTTTTCTACTTATTGGATATGACGGTTGTAAATTCCTTTGTTTTGTATAAAGAATTGAATTTGCTAGAACTATCGATGAAGGATTTCAGAAGACAAGTAGTAATTATCTTTTGGACAATCGTACTGTTCAACTGAAAAGGACATCAATTAGCTCAGAACCAATTGCAATTAAGAAGTCAAAACCATACGTGCCTGTTGAAATACGTACAACCGAGAGTGCTCATCAACCACAAAGATCCACCAGACGGCGTTGCGCCTACTGCAGCAATTCAAAAAAACAGATTCGGACCGATTGGATGTGTACTGTTTGCAAGGTGTATCTATGTTTAGGAAAAACTAAATCATGTTTCCAACATTTTCATAATAAACAATAATTTACATAGATATACACTATATACACTGTCCATTATATATATTATATTATATAAATAGCTCATTTTATACAATGTCTTAACCAAAATAAGCATCTATTAATTAAATTAGTTAAAATTAAATAATTAAACTTTATAACTGTGCTTCTTTAGACTCCAAACCCATTTAATTACAAGAAATTTATATAAAAAAGATCAGTAGAAGAATAATTTTATAAAATGAAGATATATTTGAAATTCCTGAAGTCTTTCAAACTGAAATTAAAATATACCTTGGTACGTTGTATGTTCTGTAAAGCATCCGAGAATATACTGGTTGAAAATTCCACATGGATGTCTACCTACCAAGTATAGTATATGAAATAACATTAAAACAAGGATTTTTATCACCTAGTCATTTGACTATTTTTCCTTTGGCTGAGGTACATCTTTATGAACAGCTTGTTCATATCTTTGTCAGGAAACAAATTACTGACAACACCTTCCAGCAGTACATACAGCAACCTGCGATTCAAGACTGGTCTTTGGAATAGGTCAAACACCGTCAGCAGGCCTCGTCTTGTCGTTTCAGATCCTATTATGTGTTTCAGTTCATCTGAAAATAGATAAATTAAATAAATGAGAAATAGGGACAAGCAAACTGAGATAATTTTCCGATAATATAAACTTATTTGCAACATATCCCTCATACACACCTCGAACATTTTTATGTTTTCATTAGTAAAAATATAATATTGTAGCGTTTTTCTGGGTTCTTTTGGGTGTCGATTAAAACACTGGATTACACAAAAAGAAATGCACTGATTTATTTATCTTGACTAGATAGAACATTTATGTACACCACTATTTACGTCTGACTACTTCTTATGTCGCAACACTGACTGGACTATACTCCACCCTGCTCTACTCTGGTATACTCTGTACTCTGCTTCCATCTACCGGCCGCCGAGTTATATAGTCCGCATCGTTGAGTCGAGAAGAATCGGGAGCCACATAGCGGCCTTCCAGAATATTCGAGGTCACTTCGCGTAGATCTAGAAGGCAAGTCACTGCCACGGTCCTCACAAACACCGCTAAGCGGCTTGTGCGGTCGTGGTCCGCGTAAAGCCAGAGATCGGCCATGAAGTTCTGGCGAGTAGGAGACTCTCCCAACAGATGGCGCCAACAGTACTATTTGTTATCGTCACAATATATATATATATATATATATATATATATATATATATATGTATATATACCATCTATCCAGCTCTCACCATGTTACTGGACGTTTCCCTCATCCTATACGTAATTTTTCACCTAACTGGTTTAGACGACAATGACCACGTCTCAAGTTATATATATATATATATATATATATATATAAAAAATTCACATATAATAATACTAACCAATGAAAAATGTAAATAAGACAAGCTAAGAAATAAAAAAAAAACAGGCTAATTCTCTAATAATGGTTTCAAATTTAGACAAAGGAATGCTTAATATTTCAATATCCTTAGTATTTATAAGATTCAGTGTCCGTCCTCTCAACAGGCGAGTGCATAGTATTGAGGTATCTTTAATAACCGGTTCACTCTAAAATTAAGTGATGGAACATTGAATGAGATTTTGTTAAGGAGCTCCGGACACAACATCTCGCCATTTAATAGTTTAAACACAATAAATCATAATAGGAATTTCTTTGCCTTTAGAATATTATGTTTTTGTATAGGATTACCTCTTTTAATTTGTGTTGTATGTAAACCCATAAAACAGTTTTTACGTCAGTTATCTTGTCGCATTTGATAAACTAATCGTGCTTCAATACCTTATAGTTCAAGATTGCTCAACAAGTGCGTTTTCGTTTATTTTTTCTGGACAAAACTATAAAACTAAAGAATATTCCGAGGAGACAAAAAGTGTTATTATTAGTCTTCATAAGTCCGATAAAAGTATTCGAGGAATTTCTAAACTTCAGAAGGTACCGCTGTCATTTGTACAAAACATCATTAAGAAATTTAAGGATGCAGGCACAACATCCAATAGCCATCGTTCCGGGAGATCCAGAGTTACAAATTCACTGAAGGCTTAAGCATAATAGTGGAAAGTAAACGCAATAAATGCATGACTGCACCCGGAATAGTAGCGGACTCGAATGTGGTCCGTAGTAAACCTGTCAGTTAAGAGAAGGTTACTCGAAGCTGGACTTACGCGATGATAGCAGTATGAAAACCACTCCTCAGGGCTACTAACAAAAAAAGAAGAAACTGCATTGGGCCAAACAACATCAAAATTGGACAGTTGCTGACAGGAAAGATTTTGGTTCCAGGAGAAGAGTATTTCTCCGTCGTCAGCCGCACGAGAGGGCATTAGGATCATGTACCGTCCCTTTAGCCAATGATTTGGGGCTGTTTTAGTGGTTCTGCTCTGGGAGATATTGTGAGAGTACAGGAAATACTGAATAACAAACGTTACAAAGCCATACTATAAAATCATGTTGTGGCTTCTGGGAGTCGTATTATTGGTCCGGGGTTTGTTTTTCAGCATGAAAATGAACCCAAACACACATCCAAGCTCTGTAAACAATTTTTGGAAGCAATATAAGAACAAAATATTTTGAAAGTTAAGGAATCACCTGCCCAATCCCCGGATCTAAATCCGATAGTGTTGCCGTGGGATGAACTGGACATACAAGTAAGGAAATGTTGTCCTACATCTCAAGAACATTTATGGAGAATATTACAAGATGAATGACGAACAATAACCCCTTCCACTTTAGAAAAATTAGTAGCCAAGGACTTTGGAAGCCTTAAGTACAATAATATTAAAAGTTGTTGTCTTCTATAGTGTAAAGGCCATCTGTCACGATACAAAATTTTGTTCATAATTTGGTAGCAAATTTCGTGAAAAAATTCGTTACTGAATTTAATTCCCTATTTGTTCACCAATTAAAATCCTGTCTGACACGTAAAGAAATCTTTGTACTAAATTTCGTACGAAATCGTGCGGAGTTGGTAGAAAAAAAATATAACTGTCACGTCAAAGTGGTTCTTACCACTTCAAAGTATCGCGGCTTGCTACTTGATTCCTTTATTACTTTAAACGGATAGAAAATTGTAGAAAATAGAGCGATCCCGTAATTTGCATATATTATATGCGACTGCGATCAGCGAGAGGGGCCAGGGCCTGGGTGTGCTCCATATGCTGAATAAAGAACGTAAGTCCCTCCTAACGCATCAATTGTTGCTTTCACCAGAAGTAAGAAATTAGAGGGAGTAGGACCTCTATACCTTCTGGGAGGACTGATGCATCTGTCGGGGGAAGTCAAGTATCTGAGGGTAATACTAGACTCCAAACTAACCTAGAACCCGCAGGTCGAACGCATTAAAAGGAAAGCGGAGTGGACTTTAATGTTGACCAGACGCTCTCATGGCAAAACATGGGGACTGAGCCCTTCCGTGATGCACTGGACGTACAAAATGGTTGTAAGAAATGACCAAAGATGAGACAAGGCTCTGCCATTGTAGAATTAAGCAAGGTACAAAGACTTGATTGCCTGTCTATAACAGGTGCAATGAATAGCTCCCTAAATGCAGCACTTGCAGCCATGCTGGACCTTCCATCGATACAATATGTAATAATGGGGGACGCAGGAATGGGCTACACTCACAGCCAAAGGGAAGATATGAGAACCTTGGACATAACCAAACAAGGAAACATGTGCGAAGAGACATACTCGATTCGAGGAAAGACCACATGGTTCTCAGATGTGTACTCAAACAGAACTTCGAGGCTAAAATACCTGCTACACTGACGGGTCAAAAAGTGGGGGAACAGGTGCAGGTATATATAGGAATATGCATGGTATACCCCGCTTGAAAGGCACACCGCTGTAGCGACCAAGCTACGGCTGATCAAGGCCATCGCCAGACCTCAGCTCGCTTACGCCTCCGCGGTCTGGGGGTACGCTGCCCCCAGCTACCGCAAGCGACTTGCTGCTCTAGAGATGAAGCTACTCCGGATCGCCACCAGTGCACCATCCTACGTAAGAAACTCAACCTTGCGTAGAGACCTGCATTGGGACACCATTCACGAGTACATGAGGAAAAAAGCGGAGAAGACCTTCGAGAAAGCTCAGGACCACCCGAACGAGCAGCTACGATTCCTCATGGACTACGATCCGGACGAGAGGCCTTGCAACCGCAGAACCAGGTACCCTAGACCAAGGTCCCAGTTGGCACCCCCTAACTGGAACCTTGACTACTAGACTAGGAGAACCCGCGGTTGCTCCCCCCCCCCACGGCGTGGATGCAGAGGACCAGGAACCACCGGGACCAGGACCCACCAGGACCAGGACCCGCCACGACCAGGACCCACCAGGACCAGGACCAGGAACAACATATTGGTAAGAGGACTTGAAACTCTTGATTTTTCGAAAACAAGAGTTTCAAGAGAACCTAGCAGACCCTCTATCGATGATCGCTTAACGACATCGATAGAATGTGCGAGGTAAAGGGAACCAACACGGCGTTCCCAGAGACTGAAACACATGAGGAGACGTTGTAGCAGACCGCAGGTCACGCACAACACATGGCCTACCCTGACGCTGATGAGTCGGGCCACGCGGAGGTTTAGGGTTTAGTGGGTATTAGGTGGTCTCCTCAAGACAACCTACACGCCGTAGCTCGGGCTAAGGTATGGTGCGAAAACGCATTCCCCCCTCACAAAAAAAAAAAAACCCGCTTGAAAGACACACCGCTGTACTTCAGGCAGAAATGTATGCAATTTTGCACTGTACAAGAGTAAATAATGAGCGATCTCCATAAACACTTCAGTCGGGCGTAACTCATAGCGTTGGCGAGTAACACTGATGTTGATGCTAGGACATACAGGTAACGCGGGAAATGGAAGGGCAGATGAGCTCGCAAGGGAAGGATCCTCCACAACCTATATAGGCCCAGTACCTGCCTTGGGCAGCACAATATGGATCTAAGTCAAATAATGGGTAAGAAACAAGCACAAGGAACATTTGCACTAGGGCCGTATCGTCAGTCGTTCCTACAATTTATTGTAGGAAGTCTTTACGTCAGCCTTTCTCTCCTTCAGAAAGGTTGGGGTATTTCTAGATTTCTACTGTTCCTTGTCAGCGTCAGCGCTCTCCAAGTGTGAGGCTATGTTTTCTTTGTGAATTGTAGGAAATTTTAGTCTATATAACAGATGATATAAATCAAAAGCATTAACAGTTTGATGAAAATGGATATTTGTAACGTAACCTCAAAATAGGGCGCTGACACGGAACAGTAGAAAACTACAGAAATCATGAAGGCCATAAAGGATTCCTAAAATTGTAGGAACGACTGACGATACGACCCTTCGTGACTGGATGTTGTCACGTGCGAAAATCACGTAACCTTTTTTTTACTATTTATCACTTATCCTTAATTTGAATTTCCCTTAATTGATAATAGAGTGCCCATTCCTGGGCCACCCTTTTCAATGATTTTCTTTTTGCAAATTTAATAGTTTATTGATTGTGTAATTTTACTCGTATTATATCTTTCTTTCTCAGCGATTCAGTTTGGTGTTGACGATCAGCAAAAAAACTCTGTAGTT